ATATATATATATGAAATCCTGACTGTGTTCAGTCAGCATGCTGGATATAGGGGAGATCTCAGTATTTGGCCCGAAGGGCCACCAACCGATTCATCGATACTGTTGGTCATATAACTAGGGAGTCATAAAAACTAATAAGTTCTGTAATGTTGAAAAAAGTTCAAGTCCTTGATGGTATTCGGCATGAGATGAAATGTTGAACATCATTCTGAAGGGGATATCCCCTTGAGTAAGGATTGTAGTAAGCTGAGCACTTCTTGATTTTTCAGCAACTCCTGCAGTTTTCTCATTAGTGAGACTAGTCCTTGGTCGTTTCTATTTTCGATTGGGTCGGGCCTTGCACCCAGTGAAATTTTCAGTCTTCATCAGGGCTGAAAGCCCATATATATCGAGACGGAAAAGAGTAAAAACTGGTTACTAATAAATTTCCTTTTTTGGTTTTTTTCCGAGAATAATAAAAATCTATAACTATCAATTGTTTTTAAGGGATACAATTTTTATATCGGATTGCTTCATCGAAGGGAAAAATTCCGTTACAGTGAAATGTTATTGTTGAGAATAGATTAACTCCTCCTGAATATTATCTAATATTGAAATAGTTCTTCTACCAGTATTTTCTCTTTTTCCGTCCCGATTTCAGGCCTGGTCAGCATGTGCAGAAATAAAATAATGAGTACAAAATTGCAAATCTCAAAAATGTTTCAATCTTGTAATTTATGAGTGTAAGGAAATGAGAGCATAGCTCCCAACTTTATAGGACGGTCCATAAATGATGTCCCACTTTTTCTCAATATTTTTTACTTCTATTTCTCTTTTGTCTATTCCTCTTTCTATTTCTCTTTTGGTGTGAAAACGAGACGGAAAAGAGTAAAGACTGTTAGTAAAACCATTTCAGTTATAGCTAGTTTTTGGGAGGAGTTTACTTATCCTTTTTTTAACCCTTTTGCACCGGACGGGACATGTGCTGTCCCAGTCTGGTAAATTTTTGATATTACGGCTGGGACAACATATGTCCCAGTTACTGAAAAATATCTAGGACAGAAAATAACGCCCACTTAGGTCTCCAAACCGATTTCCAACCGACTTGCTCCCGACAGCGAATAAATATTTTCGAGTGGTAGTTTATAAATTGGGATTTTTGTTTTAATAATTTCAATTTATTAGGTTTTTAGCCACCACTATTTCTAAATAATTCGAAGGATTATTCGAAGGCTCCTTCCTCTGATGAAGGGTCGAAATGAGTCGAAAGAGAATTTACCCTGATAACAAGTTGAGACAGCTCGCTTACATTAGAGAGTCATCTGAAACTGAAGAGGAGATCGACAATGAAGTCGTTTCATCCAATCACAATGATTTGTTTGATGATGAAGTTGTGCTCCAGAACCAGAATCCACCATCATTTTCATGGTCCCGTCCAACTAACTTTACACCACGAATGCCACTAGTTACTTACATCAAGGATCAAACAAATTTCTATATTGGCAACGAAACCACCGAAGTGAATTCTTTCTTCAAGATCTTTTCCAAAAGCTTATTCATTTACATTTCCCAATGTACGAACGAAAGTATAGAAATGGAAAGAAAGAACATTTGGGAATGCGAGCAAGGAAATCAATAAGCAAAGGCCCTCTTCCTCCAAAATTATATCATCATCATCAACAGCAGCGAGACTTTTCAATGTTGGAAACCACTTCCCAATTGAGGGAAAAACGCGCAGAAGATAAAGATGTGCATGGTGCACAAAAAGGAAGAAAGAGGCACACTCGGAAATAGTGTGCACCACTTGCAACGTAGCACTGTGCAAGAATTGTTTCCAGTCCTACTACACCCTCAAAAAACCAAGACTTTAGATACTGTTGTTCCTCCACTATTTTAAATTTTTTACCTTTCTTATTTTATAACAATTAATTTCGAAAAGTGTTTATAAATAAATATGTTAATAAAAATATTAACGCAAATGTACATGAAAATGTTAATAGAAAAAAAGCGTTGCCTAAAATAATCATCTAAATTTTAAGAAACTGTCAATAAAAATGAGTTATTGACTCTAGAATTCCGGCCGGGACAAATCCTGTCCCGGGAATTAGATGCTTTGGGCTTACGGTGGGACATATGCTGTCCCATCAATGAAGCTTGTGAAATAATTGTTATTGATGGTGCGCTGCTATGAGGACGTTTAAGCGTCTCCAAGATCTTCAACCTTTTAGGCATAAAAGTTATGTTATCTAATAATCGCTTGAAGGAGAAATAACTGATCCCGGCAATGTGCTCACTTTGATTTTTCGCCGTATTGAAAGGGTTAAACTATTTAACAATATATACTTTATCTTGGAAAAGGAGAAGTTACATATAAATGTTTAAATTATAAACGAAATCTTGATAATTACAAATATTTTATTTTTCTCGAAAAAAAGCTAGAATGAAATGTTTTTCGCACCAGTTTTTGTTCTTTTCCGTCTTGCTATAAATACCAATGCTAATTATATTTTGCTCAAACCTCACATTCTGAAAATTATGAACACTTTTTAGATCGCGTTTTAAATTACAGTTTTAAACTCAAGCATAGCGCTTCAGTGAATTTTGTTAGCATAGTAGTAATGATAATAGGTAAAATGCATATTTTGATCTGAAAAATATTTCATTTGGAGATTTCAAATATTTTAATTATGACTAAATGTGCAATGTCATACATCTTGTCACCCCGTTTCTCCACTTTGTCACAAACTGTCACTATTTCCAGAAAAAACCTCCCATCCTAACAAGGTATAATGCGCAAACGGCTCCTAAACATATTATTTTGAAATCCAAACAAAAATCTTAATCTGAAAACGATTTTTTACCTTGTCATAATAGAATGTGGAAGGAAACTTACCTTCGCATTGGCCATTTGTATCAAATCTCTGACTTTCTCGACATCGGCATTTATAACCATTTTCAGAATCGAAATCTTCGAAACAGAGTGCGTTCTTTCCAGCGCAATCTTTATTACCTCCTGCTTCAGAACACATCAGTTTCCCTAATGGTTTAAAGGAATTACATGAAATTAATTCTTTTAAGAAATTTCCAGTTTTAGCTTCCATTTCTGTTTCATAAAGTGTTTTAATCAGGAAAATATAGCACTTAATATGCACTCGAAGTCTTTTTAAAAGTTAAAAAAAAAAAAATGGAATCAACCAGTAACATTTTGAAAGAGTTCTCACGAACTTACCTCATAAAACCCTGAGATCACTGTGTTCACAGCATATATACAATCTAAACGTAGACTTTTTCGATAAAGCCATAGAATGTAAAACAGCAAATTTTAATGAAATCTTTAAATTTGAAAATTATATCAAAGATAAAAACTACAGACCAATAGCTGCACATTTCACCTCCGACGCCTCATATCATAACTATCAAAACAAATAATTTCATCAACCTTTCTGAAAATATCGTTTACTCATGCTGATACAATTCGGAACAACTCCAAAATCAAACAAACACAATTATAGTGCAAGCTGCTCATTTTATTTTTTTACTCCTTTTTAGTTATTCAAGCAAAGTGCTTGAAACATTCATAAAAGCAATTCCACTTCCTGCTTACCTCAATGCTCAACCAAAACAGTGTTAAAATTCTAGATGAATGGGCAGGTGCCCAATAAAATCAAAACACTAGGACTAGGAGATCACTGTGTAATTTAGTAGTGGGTAATTTACAGGCGACAGTGGTGACTAACAGTCACCTCTCGAGGGGAAAGGGTTAGTTATTTTAAGAAGTTTACTGTTTTAGCTTCCATTTCTGTTTTATAAAACGTTTTAATCAGGAAAATAGAGCGCTTAAAAATATTCTCAGCGACATTTGTATTATTTAAATCACTTCTTGCATAATACGTTATAATAATATGCAAACGTTACAGAAATATTTAGGGGTAATCAACTACTTAACACATTTGGGGCTCGAAAAAAAGTATTCTTGATGCAGATTGTACTTACTAAAATATTTCTTGATAATAAAAATAAATTGCATTTGAGGTTTTTATGAAGTAAAAAAAGGGTCGCAAACTCTAAGAGTTTACAAGACAAAATACACAATTTATATAATTACCATGTGACGCCTAGAGGACAAATTAAATGGATTGGTTACTAAACATTAGAGGGTAAAAGTTTTAGTAACTAAACTAGTAAATAATTTATGTTGTCGGTGAGGGGACTTTGAGGGCAAAGTGTTGCTGATTATACAAAGTGATATTTTTCTATTTTTTCAAAAAAATAAAATCCTGACTGATATCAACCTTTTGCGCTTTTTAAAATTAATTTTTCTTTTTGAAGTAAAATGCCCCTTTTTCTTCTTTTTAAGAAATAAAATTTCTGCTGAACTTTAATTTCGGCAAAATAATTTAATTTTACAATTCAATAAAACATATTTTTTAGAACATTGCCAGTCGACTTTGGTGAAGAATTTAGAAACCTTTCAAAATTGTCTTGTACTACTAACTATAAAGATAATCAAGTCAAATGTACAGCACAACTCTTTCTTCTAACTATTTTACTTCTTTAACCCTTTTTCTTGCCCTTACCCCATAATTAGTTTTAAACAAATATTAACCAAATTTTTTCACCGACTCGCTGTTACCCATATGGAGGTACTTTGATTTCAATTTTAACTATTTTCAAGAGATGTCTGCGATATTATCAATGTTCTTTATTAATTTTAGTAATAATTTAAAATCTATCTGGCAGCCATTAAATCACGCAAAGCTCCGAAAGTATTAGTTCCAAACGTTTCAGCACAGCAGGCAGCAGAAGCATTAAAATTAATTCCATCTCTGCCATGAGATAAGATAGAAAACTAATCCCAATGCTTCCCTACATGCTGTGCTACTTCCTCAACACCTCTCTTGTGTATCGTATCGTTATAATCCATCTCTCTCTCTCTCTCTCTCTCTCTCTATATTCATGTAAGACAAGAGTGAGAAGANTCTAACTTTCCATTCAATTTAATTTATAAAGCGGAAAAAGGAAGAAATGTATAGAATAAGCAAAAATATATATATATATATATATGCACCGCTATTTCTAAACAATATTTCCAAACTTATACAATTCACCACTTTTATCAGATATGTCATTCACCGTTCAAGTCAATATATACTTCAAATCATGTTCATATTCTTGTAAGTGTTATCACAATGTCACAAAAACAAAATGTTTTATTCACTGTATGATTTTCATGATGTATGGGGTAGGGGCTGCTTTTAAAAAACTAGCAAAATCAGTCGAATATTTGCACATCTAGTATGTAGTTATTTACCGTTTAGCCAGACGGGAAAGCCAAGTAAAATTAGCTTGGCATTCAACGTGTTAAAGGGGTCCAAACTTTGGAGCGCTCTCCTGCACAAACTATTGGGACTATATTTCCAGGATTGCGGATACCCCCTATATTTATGGGGTTCAGAAAACCGAAAGGTATACGGAGATTCCAAACTTGCTCCACCTAATCTGAAAATTATTCCTAGGGAAAGCAAAATTTATAAATTATTATTTCAGTTTAAGATTTTTGTTTAAATAAATTAGATCCAAAGTTGCTTTTCTGTGGCTCTACTGATAAATAATTCTAATTTATATGTAAAATTCTATTTCCTTTCTGCAACGTGATGAGGCTAAAGTGTTTGCACAAAAGTTTTTGTGCACACTTATAGTTTTTTAAATAAAGTAGGGCCACTAGCATCCTTGAGTAGATATTTAACGATTTATCTAATGCAGGCCTGCCAATTTCTACACTTTTTGCAAAAAATTTTATTGAGTGATAGACATTTAAAAGCCAAAGCTTTCAGACCCATAGCTTGTGTATCGTATAGTTAAAATCCATCCATCCATCTATATACATATACAGACATCTATATATCTATACATCTATGTATATACATATTTACAAATCATCTATCAATCTCTATACACATTTCGTAACTTAAAATATCATCTGCACCAATTAATTAGTATATTTGAGGTCACAAAACTCAAACCATTAAGATTGAATCCCAGAACGTGAAGATCCAACCATTAGATTATATGTTATTGAGTGTAATCAGTTTTTTATTTCGTGCTTCGTACATCGAAAAATATCAGTTTTAGCATCTATATTATATAAAACGCTTATACGTACGTATGTATCAATAAAACCGATGATATTTCTTTTCTCGCGCTGGCAACAGCTTTCATTTTTAATTGATTGGATTCGGCGCGCAAGAGCACGTAGTGAGCATCATATGGCTAATCCATGTAATATAAAACGCTAATACGTTTTAATTGATGGGGTTCGGCGCGCAAGAGCACGTAGTGAGCATCATATGTCTAATCGGGTGAATTCTCACCGAATTATCAAAAAAATTCTCACAAAATTATCTTCATCGAAGCCAATGCTTTACATCCGGCGTTCAGTACTATTTCATATTGTCTTACAACGCATGGTTTGAGCCCTCTGGTGGGAAAGACTTTAAAACAAAACTTACAACAGTTACTTTTCTCAACAACTGAAATTTAGAATAGTGTGATTAAGAAAAATATGTGAACTGTTTGCATTTTCAAACTAATATTGAAATGCACAGGTTTAGAATTTTCTACAGTGAGAAGTTTTCGGAACTTCAGTGTTCAAAAAAGTATACAAAAGCTAGACGTTAAGAACGTATCCAATGAGCGAGCAAAGCGAGCATCGGATTGCGAAGCTGTCCGAAATGAACTGCGAAAGCAGTTCCGAGGGCTGGCGAGCGCTAGCGAGCAGGGGGCGAAGCCTCCTAGTTATTGATAAATGGGTAATTCTTTGGAAACATGACAAAACGGACCAAAAAATTTCTTCAAATTTAAAGTTTTCAAAACGATCAAAAATTTTTTTTTGTATAAATCGTTAGTTACATTTATTAATATCTTACAGGCAGCAGTGTAGTTTATTGACATTTGCTCGAGAAAAAAATAAAATAGAAATTCATCAAATCTTGAATGCCAGGAAAATGACATATTTGCTTAGTAGTTTAAAAAACAGTAATTTAAAGCTAATAGTAAGTAACTAAACTTAGCCTTTATGTTAACAAACACAGTTTAGAGCAAGCTGCTCAATTTATTTTTGATTCCTTTTTAGTTATTCAAGCAAAGACCTTGAAACATTCATAAAAGCAACTCCATTGCCTGCTTACCTCATTGCTCAACCAAAACTGTTCAAAAATTCAAGATGAATGGGATAGGGGCCGCTTCGCGGCCCAGGTGCCCAGTAAAATCTAAACACTAGGACTAGCCTTTATGTTAGCTGGACCATAAATTGCTTAAATTAATTCTTTTATCCACTGTAGAAAGAATCAAAAATGTTTTTGTTGCTGATATGCACAGAATAAAATTGTGCATAATAATCAATCATTAAATAAATAAATAACTTTGATTACATTCAAGAATGTTAAAATCATACATAAACTTGGTATCAGGTTAATATTTGCTTTCCCTCTTTACAGTATGCATTTTAAAAAAAATTCTGGTAATACTTCATTGTCCTGGCATTCATAAGCCAGGAAAATGACAAATTTGCCATTTTATAGCATTTAACTTTAATCTATCAGTTTGGCCTAAGACGTTTACATCCCGCAGAAAACAACAGGATTTCTTAAAATAACTCAGATAAATCTATGTAGTTTATGTTATTAATGATTTCTAGAAGACAGGAGAATGACAGCATAAAAACCTACTCACCTTGAAAAATTTTTTGAAATAGATTTTGAAACAGAAAGTTGGTTCTTTATTTATGAAACAAGACATGTTCAGATAGGAAGGTATTTAATCAATCTGTTAACCCGTATTGTCCCGATATTATATATTGAAATCATAAAAAAAGTGGTTTTATGGAAAAAGTGGTATATTGGTAAAGTGGTAAATTAATTGGTTTTCCTACTGTTAGGGCATGCAAAAGTCATTGATAGATCAAAAGGTATTTGCTCCTTATAATTCAGGATCTAATCAGAAATAACTAAATCATTCTGGTATCTGAGAATCTTTTAATTCACCCAGATAAATGAAAGTGCTGAAAAAAGTTTCCCACAACAATGAATGTCTTTGAAAAAATGAACTGTCCTAAATATATGATACGCTGGGCGTTAATCGGTTAAGATAAGATATTGATTGCTGGCGCTATCTATTTTGGTTATAAATCACTAAATAAAAGTAGCCTGGAAAATGACAGATTTTCATTTGACAAACGAATTATCGACAGAAAAAATTATTCTAAGAGAAGTTTTATTAAATAATACCCTCTGCGTATATTCTAGAAATGCTTACAACTGTTGAGATAAAAAGAATTAGATATTGAAAAAGTATATGAGACGTTTTGAATCTAGTTATTATTGAAAATATTGTTTGTGACAGACCAGAAACATGACATTTTGAAATTAAATTAAATTTTTTAACTTTACAAAACAGTCAATGTTAATGCAAAGTCATTTTAAAATGTTAACAGCGATGCTATTCATAATTTTTTTTTAAAAGTACTTTTATTAGTATAGTATTAGATCTTAGAGCAAGGGACTGTGAATTGTCATATTTCGTGAGAATCACCCATATGCCTTACCGATTCCTCTTAAGTTACTGTCAAAGAAACACGATGTCCACTTGCATTGGTTTCCATCTCATGTGACCGTACATGGTAATGCAGTGGAGGCCAGAAAGAGTTATGAGTGAGTCATGACTACCAAATTCTCGCTCACTTTTCAAGAAACGCATATCGATGTAAAATTGTGCCTAATTCATTGTCGTAAGCATGTCATTAGGTTTGAAAGATATGCTGAATATTTAAAAAAAATATTTTGATATACAAATTTCTGTTTAACTGAGTTCAAAATTTTGAGGTAGCAATTCGAATTCGTAAAATTTGGAGTAAGTCAGGTGTGAAATTGACTAATGTTCAGTTATCTATTGTTAGATAGGAAGGAAGGAATAGGAAGGTTAGATAGGATTACCTGTTTTGTACTCAGCCTTGTTTTGGTTACATCTTCTAAACCATAATTGTATTCAATTCATCTCTATAAATAAGTTATATAAAGTTCTTAAGTTCATAAAGTTTTTCCTATAAATTACTCTCCGCAAAATTATTGACCTATGTTATTTTATTTCCTTATATGATAGATAATATTTACACATTTAAATAATTTAAATTTCGAATACGAAATACAGCTATGAAGATTTAATTTAAAATAAAAATGTGTTTCAGAGTTTTTTTTAAACCTGATATTTATCTCCATCTTACTTCGACATGTTACTTCATCATTGTTGTAAGCATACTTCCCTTCACACTTGCATTTGAATCCCAGTTTAGCATCCGCTATACATTGATCATTGGGACATAAACCAAGAGGCAAAGTTTTCGCAGTACATCGATCTACAAAATAATATTAAACATTATTTTATTATAAACAATTGTTTTCCAAATAATTTATATTGTAGAGTAAATGAGTGATAATATTATTACTCTCATTTTAACCTTACCAACACACGTAAGTCCACTTGAAGCGTAGGTAGGGGGGCAAAGACATCTCTCAGACTTATTCACTTTTAAACAGGTTCCTGCACCGCAATCCTTCTCGCATTTCTGTGATTCATCAGTGAGTTCTGAAATGAAGACAAATATACTGAAAAAATGCTTGGACCTTAATTACAGACTACATTATCACATTCGCCACCTCGCCAAATGCGATAAAATTGTAAATTTGGCGAATAAAATTGTGTTTTGGTGAAAATATTGGCGAATGATTTTTTTCTACTAGAAAGAAAAATATATATATTTGACTAGATGCTCAAAATTACGTCAAAATAATGGTTTTTAAACAAATCAGCATTTTTTATTCGATTAACAGTAATATTCTGTAGATGCACCGTATAACAAATTAGATTACAGTCCAAATAATACAAGCCTGAAACAAACTACCGTAAAATAGTTTTCTATGGCGAAAAAATTAAGCGTAAAAAATTGTTAAGATTTGCATCTGACGAAAACTTTCTAAAATTGGCAAAGACTTTTGATATTTGGCTAATTTACTGACTAATATTTTGAAATTCTTAGTTGAGCCCTGCTTTTATCAATAATATATTCAAGGTGGCCGCAACTTGGAAATACTCAGAAAAGTGACAGAGATATCTCATAAAGCTGGGAGAAATTTTAAAAGTTTAAATTGTAATTTCCCTTTGGGAATTCAATTAGCTTGTGCCAATGTGAAGTATTTATCTATGTACCAGCCTCAGGATGGATCTTTATCAAATTCTTCTGTAGGAACTGATGAAACTTCGGAGCAAAGCCTCGGAACAAAGTTATAATAAAAGTTCAGTTATCACAGCAGAGCTGCGATAGTCTTGCAAGGAAGTTCTTGAGTGAAGTTAGGCATGAACGCTAGATTTAAAATAATGGCACTAGCTCTTTGTTTTGAAAAAGCTGTTGCATCTCTTTGAAAATTTTTATTAGTCTTTTGGATGTTTGACCGTGTTCTTTCGCTGCCTTTTCTTTCGGGGTCGCTTACTGCACCTAGTGAAGCAGGATAGGTATTCTGCAGAGGACGCATATGGTTTCATCAAATGGCTTTGTACATGTGTAGGAAAAATGTGCCGAGCACATTTCCTGCAGGTAAGGCCCTAGTGAAGAATAGTTTTTTTGAGTGGGCACAGTTGAATTGGTATTTTTAACTGATAGATATATTTCCTTTATTTACAAATACATTTCGGTAGATAGAAATTGTTAAAATCAAATTCTTTTACTCAAACTTGCATACTCCTGTTTTTTAATTTTAATAGTAGTGGTCGCCATGTGTAAGATACAACAATGCATTACTTTCAATATATTACTCTGAAAAAATCTTTATGATTTATTATTCTTAAGGAATAACATCGGTACATATGAGTTTGAAGGACCATGGACGAGAGCCCTGCTTTTCCAAATGTCGCCGACATAAACATCAGTCCTTATAACCAAATTTCAATATCGCGATATATTGTTAAAAAATAATGGTATTTATATATAGATATAGATAGATATGTACAGGGCTGCCAACTTTCTGCGATTTTTGTAAAATCTTTTTTCAGCGGTAGCAAAGAGTTAAAGAGTTTTATTGTATGATTTTTATATTCAATTAAACTTCTTTTCTACGCCACTATATATATATAAAGCATTTTAAATGTTCATATGCAATGCCACTTTTTTCACCCTCTTTCAAGGCGAGGCTTTTAAAATATTGGCAAAATTACCAAAAATTCAGAAAGCTTTGGTTCTTAAATGTCTACCAATCTATAAAATATTTCACAAAAACTGTAGTAGTTTGAGTACCTGTAACAGGGTTCCCACGGTCTTTAAGAATTTTGAAAAGTGGTAACAAAAATAAAACCAATTTTGATATTTTAATTTCTGTAGCAGCCGCTCTAAAAAATTGCTTTCTTACAAAATATATATGCATGAAAATTCCATCACTTAACGATAAAAAGGTATATTAAAATAAAGAAATATATTATAGCATCAACTTAAATTTACTACCACTTTTAAAATTTTTCAAGGACCACGGGAACCCTGCTGTATCTATCTATCTATCTATCTATCTATCTA